CCTGCTCTGGGATCATCCACCTTAGCTTAGCTGCTCCTCTTTTCTTTGTTGTTTGTTCTGCCTCCCATTTTTGTGTGCCTAACACGATCAGATGAAGGCTGGCGTTGTCCTCTGCGAGCCTGCACGACGTAGCCCTAAGATACTGAATTTGGCTGAAGACTCGAAGAAGAAAACCAGGCTCTTTCTAACCTTGTGCAAATCCAGAGCTGTCCTCCTTTACTTACCCAGAAGCGCAACATGATGAAGAAACACACTGAGAGGTTTTGCTTACTTTAAAACAGCCTTTAAATTCACATTTAGTGCCTCAGATTAAGTGTTCTGAAGTAGCAGTACAGATATTTAAACCAGCCATGAACTCTAAACTTTAACCATTTATTTTCAGCATAATAAACCACACAAGGCATTTTCTGTCATAGAAGGGGACCAATTAAACATCACCACTTTTCCCCTAAATCAGCACTGTCCATTGATATTTGTTAAGCTTGCTGATCCAGCAATCTTTAAGGCATACAGCAAGATGAATAATAGAGATTTGTCAGTTAATAACCACTATAATTCAAGTATGTCACATAGAAGTGTTTTGTTTAGTGAACAATATGCTGTCTAATTACCCTGCTCAATCATAACAGCACATATCAAGAAATACAGAAGGCTTTAGTTTTAAATTGCTTTACCAAAGTGCTGTACAACATAGGTTTCAGAAAGTTTGACACTGCCACTTAGTTCTCCCCATATACAACAATCGCATGGATTTTATCAACAAAACGATGCAGCAGCAGGTTTTTGCTTACTTTTAAAACTGACTCTGTGCTCTTTACTGTAGTTGGCAAGCTGGAGAAGCACCAAACTTGCCTTCTATAATCATGTACTGCAACATGCACTACTACAGCAGAGCATGGATACAGATGCTGTATAAGATTAGGTCTGATCGATGGCATGTTTGGGGGTTCTGCTATAAAAACATTCCTTTTCAGATACGGGCCGAGGGTCGCTTACCCACTTTGAAGACAGTTTTTCCTGTCAAACAGGCCAACAAAAGTATTCCCCGTTTGCAACAAAGTAAGTACTATAAACAGCAGCCTGTTAAATATGATTTAAATTGCTCTAAAGAACCTCTTGATTCCTTCCTGGCATTTGGTCTTTTAAAGCAAGTAGGACAGAGAAATTGTTCCTAGCAGGAATAGACACCAAGGCATTCAAACGTAAATTACCATTTTGTATTTGAAAGACACTTAGTATTATCCCAGTGACTTTCTAAAATGTCACAATATTTGCTTCCCTAGCACTTAAGCTAAAAGGCAGATTACTTGCAATGAAAGTGTCAAACTCTGCTCCCTATATAATGACATCACACTTTAAAACAACGTGAAGGAAGAATCCTTCCCATTCCTACTTCAGTTTCTTTACAGAAGGGGAGGGGGGAAGGAAAAGGGGGAAAAAAAAAAAAGGTAAATCAGGCAAGAAGAATAATAAAGAAATAAAACTTTGGAATGGCAAACAGGAATGTTATGTTCAAGTGCTCCTTTTCTACTAGCACCACAGGATAGATTTGCCCCCGAACAGCTCAGCATGGCAAAAGCGAGGAGCAGGGAGCCCTGAGTTACAGACCCAGACTTAGGTGGCCCCTAGTAACAGCAGACAGAGAAAATCTGTCCACTCTCTGGCCATCCCGTGCCCCGTGATAAATGCCTGACTGCAGACACGCAGTCCTGTCCCAAAAGGAGCACTCATATTGTCGAGCAATTACATTTTCAGCTGTACAACAAAACCACCACAGTCCCCCCTCCTTTTTGACAGTCGGAGAAATAATCCCTTCTTTCTAACAGGAATAGCCTCTCCATGTGGTTTTTCACAATATACTGCTCTTCTCAGCTATATGGTTTTAAAGGCTTATAACCTAATAGGCAGACATACATGATAATCCGAGATTACAATCGGTATGAAGGCTACTTATCTCACAGATTTACAACACAGGCTCTATTGGTTATTTATCTGCAGGGTCTCTGGAGCAGAACTATTTAGGTGCAAGCTTTTCTATTCCTTCTATCTTACCAGTGGTGAAATACAGAACATGAGCACAAATATGGCTCAAAAATCACAGTTCAATGCTCATCCACCCTCTTTCAGAAGTTTTGCCTTTTTTGTTTGTTTTTGTTTGTTTGCTTGTTTTAAAAATAAATCACCAACAGGTAACTTCGAGGGAAAATAAACTCCTTAAACATATAATTAAATTACAAACATAGATATATGGCTATTTTAAATGGAAAATTAGGTGGAGAAAAAGGTACTTAAAAAAAAGAGCCTCTCTTTACCCATGCAGGGGCCCTATAAACAAGTTTTTAAAGATGTGTGATCAAAACCCTCACAGACTGAAAGGAAAAGGCTAGTGTAGGAGAAAGAAGAGACTGGAAAGCACACTCTGTATTTATTGCTAATACTTTCTTCATACCTGTTAAGGGAAAAGACATCATTAGATGTTATCATCTTTCACTGTCTTCTCCTGAATTGAGTATTTTCTACCTCTCATGGGCTGACAAAACACTTAATATGAATTTTACACTACAAATAAGAAGAGTCCTCCAGTCATGAAAAAAACCCCTTTTACTTGCAAAGATAAAAAAGCCTACATTATTTTAGAGTAGAAGAGGGTAAAGATTTTAATCAGAAACATGGGACCACTTCCAAAGAACAGACTGACACAGACAGCCTGCCATCTCATTAAAAAAAAAAAAAAAAAAAAAATCTAGTTCACTAATTAACAAAAAAGTCAGGGCTATCATGGTCTCTTGGAAAAAAAAAAGAAAATTAAAAAAATGATGAATTTTTACAAAACATTTAAGCTAAATTGCCCCCACCTTTCACTGGCAGGAGCCTTCTGCAGGCTGCCTCTGCAGCGCGAGGCTGCGTTCTGGCTGAGCCTTCCTCCGGAGGCAGCTTGAGTTCACTCACAATAACTCGACAAGTTAACCCAAATAAAAGTACCAAGCAAGCAGGTTTCAAAGGGAAAACTTGTGGTGCAAAACACATCCAAATGATACAAGTGTGGAGGGTACCCAGAAGGGAACTGCACATCAGGTGCTGGCAGCACTGCACGCCAGTGCCTACACGAGAAATGAAATCCTGGTGGGGCAACAGCTGCTCCTGAGCCCAAAACCACAATAATGACTTCTAGCAAGGAGGCCCCCCCCAGTCAGCAAGGCCTTCCCGACCTGCCGCTGGCTCGGCAGGCAAGAGCCACTGCTAGGAATATCCTTCCATCCACCAACCTCCCTGCAATCCCTCTGACGGGGGCTACGCCTTACGCTATAGGCACGTGTCCCATCTTTTTCGACAATGCTGCTACCATGGTAACAAACTTGTTTATCTATAAATGCCAAGACTGATGGGCTCAATCTGCCAAAAAAGCACCATATTCCTGTTGTGAAAACTGATTTAAGTTAACTCATTTTGAAGGCAACTAGGACAAAGAAGGCAACAGACACCTCTTTTTTTACTCCTTTAGCACTGAGCTGAAGTAGGTAATTATCGTAAGTAATGCAGTTAGCAGCAACAGGATGGAAGTGTCCTGTAAAAAGTGCATTTGTTAAGAGCCTCTGGCTACAAACCAAATACTGAATTAATTTATGAATTAATGGCTTTCTGCTGCTTTTCTTTACCTTCTTGATCCTTAAAGAGATACCAGTCTAAAGAGGAAAGTACCGTGTCATTACCAAAATGAAAACACTATGACAATTCTCTCTCTAAAACAAGACAAGAAATCCCAAAGCACTCTTAGCATCCCACACAGAGGCATCAAGCAACAGCATGTCCATTATTTATTTCCATCATCAGTCAGAACAGGTATATGTTGCTACCAGCGGAAAAAAAAAAAAAAATGAACGTTTGCATTAATTCCTAGTGCTGCCCAGCCCTCTTCCGGGCCCAGCGTGTTCCGAAATAAATCTGTCTGCTTAAAGGTCAACTACAAAGATGAAACCCCATATATTTCAAGCTATCCTGTAATGAAGAGGGAAAGCCCCTACCCTTCTCTCAGCAGAGCTTCGCTTCCACTAGTCACCAGGATCACAGAACAGATCGTTGTTAATAACAGGTGCCATAATGATCTATTTTTAAGCGGTGGAACGAGACACAGGCAGATCATGAGACAGGAAAGATTAAGAACAGGAGAAAATAAAAGCTGGAAGTATACAGCGAAAGGTTAAAAACATGAGCAAGAAAAGGAAATTATCTTCAGATTCTTCTATCACATCCTGTGCTGCAGCACCTGAGCAAAGTCGGAAATGTTTGCATAGGACAGAGTGCAGAGGTTAGGAGATGTTATTATTTCCAAACCTTTTTGTTGGCTCTAATGGAAGAAATATGGTTTTGTGTTCAAAATTAAGAAAAACTGAGTGTCTTTCATTAAAAGCAGTGCTCACTCCATGTTCTATTACGCTAACAAACAAATAACTTTGACCTATGTGAATGCCACTTGAATCCAGATCTGGTGGCAGGACAGAGGCTGAAACACTTCGGCTGTGCCTACCTGCCAAGTACCGAGACACATGCCTGGGTTAATTTTCACTTTAAAGCAACTTGCTGAATAACAGACATACAAAATATTAACAGATAACCCCGTTTTATTCTATAACCAGAAACAGTAAACTAGTAGAAAATGGCAAAAAAAAAAGCAGACCATCAAACCTCCACACCGCAGTCATTCCTGAGAAATACAGTGGGGTTTTATCATCTTAAATAAACACATTTAGTCTTTGGACACATCGCTCCGGGCAGATTCGAATGTTACCGATGCAGCTTACGGGCGCTACGACTACAAGAAAACATCAACCCCCAAACTGGACGAGGGAGCATATAAAAACACTTACGAGCTACTGAGAAGTTATTTAAAGGTGATTCCCGCTGGTCGACATCCTGCGGTCGTTCCTTGTAGCCAATGAATGTGCCATCGTTCTTTAAGAGAAAATACCGCGGCCTCCATGTTTTTATGTATTCTCCTGGAAAGAAAGGACGGGTAAAGGGAGAGATCATCAGAAAACACCCCGAAACACTGACTCACCAACATTTTTTAAATATTGAAACTATATGTCATCCTGACATAGCAGCAGTTCTAAGAACATTCAGTTCATTCTGATGCAAACAGTGGAAAAATACAGGCACTGAGTCAGATATTGCTAGCGTCCCATAAAAATGGGACTTCATAAAAGGTAAACAGCTATGTTTTGTTCTTCCATCTACTCCGATTTCCATTCAAATTCTGCAACATCTGCCTTAAATGCATTTTAAATATTAAAAAAAATCAGAGCAGATGTCCTATGTATTATTTTTGCTATTGTCATTTTTCATACTGACAAGTGAAGAAATTTTTTTCATTTACATTTTGCAGCGCAAGTATTTTAAACAACAATGGGTAATTTACTAATTAGTCAACTGCTTTATCAAACCAACAGTCAGTTTTAGAACATAAGAAGATAATTCTCTGCTTAAGTTACATAACATCACTCACTCCTCTCACAACATCTCAAGCGTGAAACACGAGATGATATATCACAATACGAAGGGGAAAACACTGGATGATGTATAGCCACCACAAAGAAGAAAACAAACACCTATTCTGAAAGATATTTCACCATGGTCAGGGAAAACATCCCTTGTTCACACCATGCTACTCCTCATCTGAGTAACCTGCGCAGGTTGAAAGTCGCGTGACTGTGTTATAGCCACGTTCAAAATCTCCAGCCGTAGAATAAAAAGAAAAGAGTTGATCAAAACCTCAGTTATTTACTGGATTTACTCAGTTGGGCTGCAGGGAAGGAAGACAGAGGTTCCACCTGTGGCTCTTCTGGGTGACTTTGTCAATGTGCCTCAGTTTCCCCCTTTGCTCCTTGTCCACGTTGTCATCTTCTCAGGCAGTCTCTCCAGAACCGCAAATAGCTTTACGTGGTGTCAATCTGGGCCTCTAGGTCCTGCAGTAATGTTTCTATTCAACCAAACCACAAAGGCTTCACTCAAGGTGCTATTCAGATCAGGGTACCAGCCACACTTTTCCAACTCTGCTCACCCCAACAACAACTGATTTAAAAAAATTTAAAAAAAAAAAAAAAAAAAAAAAAAAAAAAAAAAAGAAGTGGTCGGTACGAAGCACCCACAGCTGGGCAGCAGCTATGCTCTCCTCCCTCCAGTATGGTTTCTCATTTGTTCAGCATCAGGGAGAGGACGAGGGAGCAGACTAGAAGCCAAGCTTCCTTCAGGTCTGCTGCAGCAGAAGCACGCCCACGCGCCCCACAAGGCTGCCCCTGCAGCGGCTGGTACTCAGTGACCACGGTTTCATCTGCTGGCGAGCTCTTCAAACAACCACCAAGAGCAGTGAGAAGAAAAGGCTCCCCAGATTTACTGGCTCTGCAAACTTCTGCTGCTCTCCTGTTCTCCCAGGCTACGCTTACACCCTCTGTTCCTGCTGCTCAGCTCTCCTCCGCCAGTAATTTCTCTCCCAGCGATGTGCACCCTGCCCCAGGAACTCCCCTGCAGCTGCTTTGCCTCCTTCCTCTCCCCACAGACCTCCTCTCCTTCTGCGGTGCAGTTTCAACCTGCTTCAGGCACCAGCTGTGTCATTTCTTCTCCGTTCAGGCTCATACTTTTCTCTCCTGCACACAGAAGCACAAGCAACGCCACCGCCCACGCCACGCGGCCACGGGTGTGTGCACCCCTAGCTGCTGCTTTCACCTGTTCAGCCCTTGTTAGGCTTTCAGTTTTCTAATCTAAAGCAAAAAAGCTAAGAGTTACCTAACCGGAGGAGAGAGTCACACAGAACTACCTATCCAACAGCGGCCATGTCTGCAGCAAATATCCATTTGCGCTGGTGAAACAGGGCACGAGGCAAGGAAGATGAGAGGAAAAGGAACGCGCACAAACCTTCTCAGTCTTTCTTTTACAGATGTCTCGTTACAGCTGCAAGTGTTCTACTAACCTATAAGGGGTTTACAAAAATGTCATCGTTGCTTTAGGAATTTCAGAAGAACTCACCTATAGCTGTCATGGCTTAACATTTATAACAAGGCAGTAAATGTAGAAGGTTTTGTTGTTGTCATCTTTTTAATTCTGACCTTAATTAAAAGCTGAAAACTTTCTGGGATCAGTAGGAGATTATGAAGCCTTTCACATTTAAATTACCAGTCCAACTCAGCCCAGATCAATGAGATTACTCCAATCTCATTACTATTACACCACAGATGCGACTACAGGGACAAGAAGATACATGGCACGTTCAGCCCAGCTCTTGCCGAGGGGTTTGCCAGGTACGCAGGCTGGGAGGCGGCTGCCCAGACTATCGTGATTTTGGAACTCACTGTTACGTACCTGACTCGTTGGTATTTTCTTGTCTTGCATAAAGCAGACCCAGGAGACCTAGGAACCATCTCATACCCCTTATCATACCTGCATTTAGGACTAAATCCAGATTGGATGGGACGAAAAACATCTGAAGAGGGGCAAGACAGAGAGTTTCCATTTCCCTAACTCCCTAATCTATGCTACAATATCTTCCCCATCGGTATTTACAGAGGAGACATATATTTTTTGCAGATTCTGAAATTATTATCTGGTTATTTTCAGTGAAGCATGCATAATTTTACACAAAATTACACTGTGCTGCCACAAGAGACTCTTCCTCTTAGATTAGATGCTTATGTTTGGCTCTCATACTTTCTTACAGCTTTATTCCACCGATCTGTTTCTCTGTTAGAAACACATCATCTAACAGGATTAATCACATAGTCTTTAAAATGGTGTATTCCATACATATATAGCATCCTCCTCCACACTCGCTCTTTCTTCACTCTTCCTCTGTGAAAAATCAAGGATTTCATTACTGCCAGGCATTCTGCAAGGACCATTCTACTTGGACCTTCCCTTATCTATTGCTTTAGCTGGTTCTGATTCCTGATCCACCTTTTTAATTTGCAAATCAGTAACATGATTTTAAACTTCTTTTTCCACATGTCTGGAGCTTAATGAATCCTGTAATACGGCAAGCATACATATTATTGATGATCGCTCTTGCCAAGGACAGTATAAGGCACACTGCAGCATCTGTGGTATAAATTTTACTATATACCACACGGAGGTTATACTTCTGCACCTTGCAGCAAAGTGGCAAGACATTGCCTGGTGTGTGACTGCCCAATCAGATAATCTGTACATAGAATTTTACATTCAAGCCTGAGCAAACTATCGTTCCTCTACCGAAGTTCTGAAACACAGGCTCACCAACACAGTCATCGAGAAAATGTACAAAGTGCATATTCTTAAGAAACAAATTTGTATTTTCATGATTAGCTAAACCACTATAAACTTCCTACAACCTGTGAGGAGGACCACATTGATCATGATGGCAAATCCAAGTATTTTAGGCAGAAAAGTTTGTCAATACAGACAAAAAATAATTACGTGGAACAGTCAGCTGGGACAAAGCTGACTGAAAAACATTAACACCTTTTCCTTCCTCTGATATACTCAGTAAGCTGTCATGCCTGAAGAGTGAACTGAGCTTTTTCAATTTTTGCCCTCTGTTTTTTGTTCCTGTTGCGGTTTTGTTTTTAAGAACCATAAGCAAGAACTTACTTGAAGTCACTAATATTAGTAGTTATGTAGTCACACTAGAAGAATTGTACCGAGTACAGTAAATGCAAGCATGTGTGGCAAATTCTATCAGACAACACTAAAAAAAAAAAAAAAAAATAATGATCCACCATGGAAAAGTGAACAATTTACAAAGCAAAACATTTTTTCCTCTGTGATTCATTGCTTGTGTAATGCCCTGGCAGAGCCTTCTTTGTTTTCAGTAACAGAATGCTAACACTGCAGAGACAGGAAAGCAAAAGCATGGGTTATAAATCCTACATATAAAATCCTGGAACCAAATAGACTCCTCTGTAGCTTGCTAGCTTTATTATTTAAAATCTTTATGTACCATTCTGTTTACTCCAAGCAATTTCCAAATTGCAAAGATTCCCAAACTGTATATATCTGGAAGTATACATGAAGATTGCTATAGACCGATTTCCCTTTATTGCCTTGTGTCTGCCCCCACACACTGCACATTAAAATACTTAACACACACTTAGAATGTAAATCCATCTCACGCCAGAAAAGCTTTTTCACAGTAACACGTACTGCAAAGCACGCTTATGCCTGAATATTTCAGAAAAAGTTAAACACAAAACTCTTTTGGTTCATGAAAAGTTAATTCTACTGAGGATTTACAATAATGCAGGGTTAGGTTATTTTCCTCTCCTCCCCACAACAGTATCTCACCGAATCTGGAGCTGTCTACCACTGATGGAGTGTCTAACATCAGAAACAGCTGCCACTCCCTGGGAAGCTCATGGGGTAAGTGGAGAATAATGAGCAGCAAGCACCAGCAGAACAAAAGAAAATCCATCTTTATTTACCAACTGCTGCATGCTTGTTGCTGCATCAAGCTCATTCAAAGCCAACACCACACCCTTTAATTCAGAACAGACTATATTTAAGAAGCCTCTGCTTTTCTTTTTTTTAATCAACTCATACATACCAATGGTTTGAAAAAAAAAAAAATCATTAGGTTAACCAAGTCAGCATCCAATGATACCCTTGATATTTACAGAAGCACTGGACCAACTATTAACTTTCTTATGCCCCAAAGTAACCAGAACAAGCCCAGGAGCACCAACTGAAAACCAGGTCTCAGTTATATTAAATGCACTCAAGTGGCTGCCACAAATCTATGGATAAATAACACATTAAACTTTCTGCTCTGAGCATCAGAAGTAGCACCATTAATTACAATTAAGGTTAACACTCAAAATATCAGAGCTTCGGAGTTACGCAAGCCTTCACTACGTTCCCACCCGCTCCGAGACGTACGAGATTCCTTGATTGTACAGCCCTGAACCATGCGAGGGAAACACGAAAGTTATGCCAATCCCAGCGCTAATGTGCCACCGGTGAAAGGCGGAAT